TCACGTGCAAAGTAAATGAATCAAATGCTCTTCAATCCTAATACGAGCAACGCTGAATGCAGGAAGGGACAATGCCTTCCAATTTCCAAGGGAGAGTGCRTTCAGTCAGCTTCAGTGCCACAGCCAAAGCACTAGTCCATGGGCAGGAAAAAGACTTTTTTCAGTGATCCAAAAACCTACAGCTTACCTCCTCTGAACCCTTTCTTAGCAAACAATTTAAAGGCATCGCCTAACGCCTGTAATCCCAGCGGCTCAGGAGGCTGAAACAGGAGGATTGTGAGTTCAAAGCCTCAGCAACAGCAAGGCGCTAAGCAACTCAATGAGACCCTGTCTCTAAATAAAATATAAAAAAGGTCTGGGGATGTGGCTCAGTGGTTGAGTGCCCCTGGTTTCAATCCCTGGTACTAGAAAATAATCATAATCATAATCATAATCATAATCATAATGGCATTGGGTTTAAGCAAAACAAAAGGAAATCCAGCAGGAAGGTAACACAGGGTTTAGGAACAAGTGAGTCCAGGGGATCCATGAAGAGCCGTGCTACATGGAGGCTGTGCTGCTACCCAGTGGGCAGACCAGCCCAGGAGCAGAGGCAGGGACTGCGGGAGAGACAGCCTTGGGGAGAAAGGACCATCTGCAGAGGGAAGGCACAATTGGAAACTCTACATAAAGGCACATTATGCAGGGGAGAGGGGCAACCTAAGGAAAACACTGAGAGCTACGCCAGACAGTCGTGGATCACGTGTGAAATGAAGTGGAATGTGTCAGCTGTCAGCATCAAAGCTAGGATGAGTTGTAAGAAAATGGACCTCAGTTGACCTCGGAGCTGGGCATGTGCTCCTTGTACAAATGGCTCCTTTAGAATCAGCGTGTCAAAAGGGTCTGCAAGATAAAATGCCAACAGATAATCTGTCCAAAAACCGAACAATTATCACGTTGTTATAAAAGTGTACGCATCTTTAATGGGTGTCAAATACTTGTTAATTTCTAAAAAAAAAATCATAGAAGATCTGGTTGTGGATGGACAGAATGTAAATTTTAATGCCYTTAACTAGGTAAGAGCATGCTGATGGCAGACTAGATGGGAAGGGGAGAGAGGATGTGGATCTGGATTGTCTCCCCAAGGCTCATGTATTGGAGGCTTGGTGTCCCAGTGCAGGAATGCTCAGAGGTGGGGCTTGAAGGAAGTGATTGAATCTCCAGGGTTCGTATCTCATCAGTGGATTGATCCATTGATAGGTTCACAATTGAATGAACTATCGGAAGGTGGTGGAAAACTAGCCGGAGGAAGTGGGTTACTGGGGGCATGCTTAACCCCTTCCCCCCTTTCTCTGCTTCTCCACCACAATAAGGTGAACAACTTTGCCCCCAACCCAACCTTCCTGCTGGGATCTTCTGTCTCACCACAGGCCATAATCTGAAACCTCTGCCACTGAACACAGGTGATAAGGAGAAGGGGTACTGATTGTGTATCGTATAGAATCGAGATGAAGGGATACTGTCCATATTTGATGGACTGTGATACAGACRTTCAAGTATATCTTTGATAGTTACAATGGTACTCAAATGATTTGAAAAATAATCAGTGACCAGTCATTCCGAGGAAAACAGTGAGGTAGCAGAGAGTCCTTCCTACGGTGRGGCCAACAGCCAGTGTCCAAAGTGAAGAAATGAGATGTAAGTAATCATCCAGCATTATGGGAATACCATCAGCAAAGCCCAGCAGTGGAGAATGCAGTTGTCTCTAACATGATGGAGGTGAGGGTAAGAGACGAGATAAAAACAAAAAGAAAAAATATGCATTAAAAATAGAGAAAGGATGGGGGTAGGAAGGACAATAGAATGAATCATACATAAGCCTATGATCATATATGACTACAAAATATGACTACAAAACCGGTATAATCGTTCATCATATACAACCAGAAGAACGAGGAGTCATACTCCATTTATGTACGATGTGTCAGAAAACATTCTATTGTCATGTATAACTAATTAGAACAAAATAAACAATAAAATAAATTTTTAAAAAACAGAAAGGGGGCTGGGATTGTGGCTCAGCGGTAAAGAGWGCTCACCTAGCACGGGTGGGGCTGGGTTTGATCCTCAGCACCACATAAAAATAAAGGCATTGTGTTGTGTCCATCTACACCTAAAAAATAAATGTTTTTTAAAAAATTAAAAATTTTTTTAAAAAATGTAAAAACCAGAAAGGATTAAATTATAAACTGTAATTGAAAACTTGCCAGCAATTGAGGAAGATTTCTGTGTCCCTTTTTACACACATAAACACTTGCACACTCACACACTTGCACACACACACCTGCTTTTCTCCACCTCCTAATATCTGCTCACTCTCAGTTTCCACTTCCTCCTGACTTCAGCTTGCCAGGCCCCTTCCATGGTGCACCCAGCAGGTAGGGAAGAGGTGAGACAGCCGTGCATACYGAGAGTTCATGAAGAGCTTCCTGTCAGAGGTGAGCCTGCAGGAAGGAAAGAGCAAGGAGGCCCAGAGGGAGGCAGGGAATGGCTAGAGAACCTCCGTGAGGCCCAGGCTGTAGGGGGCTGTCCCCAGGGGCTGCGGCCTTTGGAGAGGAATGAACCACCCACAACCATGCAGGAAGGAGCCAGGCTAGACAGACTTCCCCTCTTACCTCTCCTGTKCAAGAGCCATGGGCCAGCCTCCCAGTCAAGTGGAGAGGGCCCAGGAGATCCGAAGGGACATGAGAGTATCCAGCCCATCCCAGAACCTTGGCTTCTCCCTAAGCATCGCTCTGTGATCTCCCTCTCGGCAGTGGTTTTAGTCTCTTGTGGTTCCTAGTTCAGATTTCCAGCCGAGTGATTGATCAGGCAAGACGTTAGCCTCCTTGGGTCGGCTGCCTGGTGTCATCAACTATRTAGGACCTGGTGGGGGAGGAGGGGCATGGAAACGAATTTCAAAACACCCTGCTTCACTTGCTGGCTGGTCCAGTACACATGCAAATAACACATAAATTAAGCAGTTGTGGTTGTCATATTGTGATTGGTTTGTCTCAGGGCTCAAATGATAACAGGGCCATTTGCTGAGTACCTTCAACCATCCAGGTATGGTGATGTCACTCTGATACACATAGCTACCCTGTACACAGGCTGGTCTGTGTCCATAAGTTCCTGATGAGAGAGTCCTGCAGCAGAGATCAATCTGTGAGCCAGAGGATGAGCCAGAGGAATAGAAGAGGGAAGCTGGATTTCACCCAGGCCATCAATCTGTCTGAATGACATCCCTGCCTCAACTCAGAGGAAGAAAATATGTGGTGCTGAGGATYGAACCCAGGACCTCCTACTTGCTGGGCGATCACTCTACCGCTGAGCCACAACCCCAGCCCAACATCATCTTTTTTAAGGGATTATTTTTGGGGAGAAATCTCTTCTCCATATCAGTGTTTCCAAGAGTAATATTAYAGCAACATTATAGTTATCCAAAATATTATCATTAAGGGAAACTGAGTTAAGGTTATCTGGATCTCACCATTTTCTTATAACTTCATGTGAATTTACACTTATCTCAAAATAAAGTTAAATAAATATACTTAAAATATTTAAATAAAAACATATGCTTAAAATTTGTTAAGAGGTCCAGCAGCTCAGGAGGCTGAGGCAAGAGGATGGCAAGTTCAAAGCCAGTCTCAGTAGTTTAGTGAGGCTCTAAGCAACTTAGCGGGATCCTGTCTAAAAATAAAAAAAATAAAAAGGGCTGGGGATGTGGCTCAGTGGTTAAGCACCCCTGGGTTTAACCCCTGGTACCAAAACAAAAAGCTTGTCAAGAAGGTAGACTTTACATATTCTTATCATACCTACACAAGATAATAATGATAAACAGACAGGCCGTGTGTGTGTGTGTGTGGGGGGGGGGGGTTGGGAGGTGATGCGTATGTTGGTGGTCTTGGTGGTGGTGATGGCTTCACAGTGCCTATTTATCTCAGTGCTCATTGTGATACAAATTCTTATGGCTCTTTACATGTCAATTATACCACAATAAAGTGTTTTTTTTTTTTTAAGTTAAGCAAATAGAATAGCAGCAGCATCAACTACCGCTCATTCATCTACTTAGCAAATATCTACTGGACACGGCCTGCTTGCCAGGTACTGTCATAGGGGTACAGCAGAGACTAAAACACATAAAACCCTGCCTGCAGGGAGTSGGCAGTCTAATGGACGTTGGCTTGTACAAGGCTTCATTCAGTCAGGTTGCTCAAAACTCAAATTATTACATAAATRTTTATTATAGAAATGATAATGACAAAGTACCTACTTCCTCACTCCCCCAAATACAGCTGGTTAGATTTTCCTGGGCTACTTGACAAGACTCAATGTTTGTGAATACCAAGTTTTGTCCTAAATGACATACAAATGAGTCATTCTTTCTCTCCCTTCTAGTGTCCCTTGGTCTCCATCAGGGATTGCTTCCAAATTCCCTTTGGAGAGCAGAATCTACAGATGCCCGATTCCCTTTTATAAAATGACATAGTAATTGCATATAACCCATGTACATCCTTCCAAATATTTAACTCATCTTAAGATTGCTTCTAATATCTAATGTGATGTAAATACTATATAAATAGTTATTATAGTATATGTTTAGAGAAAAAAATGACAATTTGAAAAGTCTTTACAGGTTCAGTTCAGATGCACTGTTTTTTTCCTGACCATTTCCTATCTTGGTTGGCTGAATCACAGATGTGAAACCCACCAAATATGTCCATTTGTACCTGCCAAATTTAAGTGAGTTCTCTATTTAGCACATGCTGGAAAAATCTAACTCACTTCTCTTTTTGCACTCTTGCTTGCTCCAGGCTACAGGTAGTGTCCAAGGAGAAAGCATGTGGATGCAATCAGATGCCACAGAGATGATYGCCATGTAATTGATGAATGGCAAATCATAACCAGAACACCCAAAGAAAACCCTTTCCTCGGGACCCTTTGAGCAACCTGGAGATTCACAGGTCTTGAGGAAGAAGATGCAGCCAGTAGACAGAAAACGCCAGCCACCTGAGCGCTGAGGGGCACCCTTGCAGCCATTTCTGGGCAGGCTCCAAGGTTCTCTCCGCCATGGCCTGTAACAGCACGTCCATGGAGACTTACCAGCACCTGCGGCTGAACGCGAGCAACGCGACGGATGCCGAGGCCACCCCGCTGTCCGCCCCGCTCAGGATATYGCTGGCCATCGTGATGATGCTGATGATCGTGGTCGGATGCCTGGGGAACACCGTGGTCTGCATCATCGTGTATCAGAGGCCCGCCATGCGCTCCGCCATCAACCTGTTGCTGGCCACACTGGCCTTCTCGGACATCATGCTGTCTTTATGCTGCATGCCCTTTACCGCTGTCACCCTCATCACCGTCCACTGGCACTTTGGGGACCATTTCTGCCGGCTCTCTGCGACGCTCTACTGGTTTTTTGTCCTGGAGGGCGTGGCCATCCTGCTCATCATTAGCGTGGACCGCTTTCTCATCATCGTCCAGCGGCAGGACAAGCTGAACCCACGCAGGGCCAAGGTGATCATCGCGGTCTCCTGGGTGCTGTCTTTCTGCATCTCGGTCCCCTCGTTCACGGGCTGGACATTCGTGGAGGTGCCCGCGCGCGCTCCGCAGTGTGTGCTGGGCTACACCGAGTTCCCCGCTGACCGCGCCTACGTGGTGACGCTGGTGGTGGCCGTGTTCTTCGCGCCCTTCGGCGTCATGCTGTGCTCCTACCTGTGCATCCTCAACACGGTGCGGAAGAATGCTGTCCGTGTCCACAACCAGTCCGACAGCCTGGACCTGCGACAGCTGACCAGGGCTGGACTGAGGCGGCTCCAGCGGCAACAACAGGTCAGCGTGGACTTGAGCTTCAAAACCAAGGCCTTCACCACCATCCTGATCCTCTTCGTGGGCTTCTCCCTCTGCTGGCTGCCGCACTCGGTCTACAGCCTCCTCTCGGTGTTCAGCCGGCGTTTTTACTACAGCCSGTCCTTCTACACCACCAGCACCTGCATCCTGTGGCTCAGTTACCTCAAGTCCGTCTTTAACCCCATCGTGTACTGCTGGAGAATCAAAAAATTCCGGGAGGCCTGCTTAGAGTTGCTACCCCAAACTTTCCAAATCCTTCCCAAAGTGCCTGAGCGGATCCAAAGGAGAATCCAGCCTAGCAGAGTCTACGTGTTTAATGAAAACCAGTCTGCAGTGTAGCACAGCCTTGCCGAGCCAGGACCCGCACAGGTTCGGTCCAAGACCCAGTTCCGCATTCCTGGCATTTCAGTCCTCCTCCTTCGCTGGTGACCATTTAAGCACAAAGGCACTCATTTGTTGCCAGATGAGCTGCAGCTCCCAAATTTCAAATTTCAGCCAGGCGAGTTCTTTTTGTTTCCCACGGTTGAAGAATCCTATGTGGTTCTGGTGGGAAGGGTGAGGTAGTCAAGGCAAATGGGGAGTGGGTGGTGGGAGTGTGGGAGTTGGGCAGGAAGTGAGAAGAGAAGGGGGACAGCAGAGGGAGCCAGGCAGGAGGAGGATCTGTCTGGGAGCTCAATTCTGCCGTTTGAGCCCCCTGGACCCCTGCCTAAGAGCAACACCATCAGGCCAGATTGTGGGTGGTTGAGAAGCCCACGTAGGGGTCATTCCATGCATTACCATTCACTCCACTGAGGCCAGTGTTCTTCAGGGTTAGTTACCTTTGTGGGTGTAGGGAACCACAGGAGGCTCTTTGCGTTGTTCAGGTGTGCATTTTTGACCATGCCACATCATCCTTTCCAGAAAGAAATCGTGACCATGCCACATCATCCTTTCCAGAAAGAAATCGAAAAGCACTGGGATTCAAAGGAAACCAGGCACTCTTTGAGTTTCCTGGTATGACATGGAGGTTCTCAGTTCAGAGGATGCTCTTGGGCAGTTCAGTTGAAAGGAGACGCCCACCTGGGCACTCATGCCCACCTCCCCACCACACCTGGTCTGCCTGGTCATCGCTCACCTCCTCCCCTCTCCCTCATGGTCCCTCCCACTCTCCCTTTATTTTCATCCTTCCCAGTGCTGGAAAAAAAAATGCCTATAATCCATCCATGGAGCAAGTATTTGTACTGACTTGCTTTCAGAATCGGGGGCTTTGTTTACATGTTTCCCCTGGACACTCCGGGGCTCCAGAGCCTCTGGGAGGCTCCAGATGCATTCTAATGCTAGAACTGTTGCAGAATAAACAAACCCAACACACTGGCATCCCCCTTGACCTCTGTTCCTCCTACCTCATTCACATCCACTGCTGCTGTCAGACCCACCTGCCAGGGCTGGATCTGGGAGTCTCGAGGGGATCTTTCTTGCACTGTATACTTGGCCACTATGCCCACAGGCCCCCATCCCCACCAGGAGCTTCCAGTGTGGAGAGAGGGGGATTCCCTGGGTTCAGGGACAGCATGGGGTTCTTTGAGCCCTCTTGAGTGCATCAGATCTGAAGACAGTGAGGAATTTAAGGAGAGGTTCAGAAAGTCTGATTCCAGATCTTACTATCAGGGACTAGTCAGGTGACCTTGTTCATCTCACCTCCTTCTGTAAGCCTCAGTTTCCCCATTTTCCAAGTGAAGATGTGGGTCTAGATGACCTCAGACTCTTGGATTCTAAAATGGGTGTTTTTAAACCCACAACCCCAGGTCTTCTATATTCACTTATTCATCCATGCAATGAGCATTTATTAAGTGCCTACTGGATGTGAGGCACTATGGGGGAGCTAGTAATGAATGAGGCATGGGCCATATCCAAAAGCAGTGGTCTGATTGATCTCAGGAGAGTAGCGGCCTAAGAACAGACACTCCATTTTCACTTCATTTATTTCTTTCCAAGTTGTATTCAGAGTCCAGCTTCCTATTCCCGCATTCTTCCTATGTTAGTGGTGACAGAGGGCAGGGAAAGAAGGGGAATGAAGAGGAAAATAAAACTGACATTAAACTCAGCCCAGGGGAAGGTTTGTCAAGAAAATAACTGACACCTATTCCAACCACCCAAGATGGCGGGAGAGATACACAGGCAATGGGCTTGTGGATAAGTAAGCATGGTTGCATCAATCCTGTGTTCCCAGTGCCCCCCACAAGGGCAGGGTTTGCCTTCAGCTCCCAAGGGGTAGGATTTTAGTGGCTAAGAGCACAGCCAGTCCACCAAGGGGACCAAGCCGATAGGTAGATACTTCCTGTCTGGTGGATTTTTCAAGAGAATTTTCTTCAGGAGCCTTGAGCAAAAGAGAAATGACAAAACTGAATGAACGAAGGTACCAAAATTTATATCAATCCACACTATATGATGTATGTTGAAAGTAATATTTATGTTTCAAAGTAATAATTTTGTATATATTTTAAATAAAGTATTATTGCTCTTTCAGTGTATAAGACCATGTTCTTACCAAAATTTGCACCAAGACCATGAGTAGTAAGCCCAGGATCCAATGCCCAATACCCATTTATCAGTCTGTTCAGGCTGCTCTAACAAAACTGGGTAATTTATCAACTAAAGAAATTTATTTTTTATAATTTTGGAAGCTGGAAAGTCTACAATTAAGGCAGCAGCAGATTTGGTGTCTGGTGAGGGCTCACCCTCTGGTTCATAGATGGCAGAAGGGGAAGAATATCTCCCTCAAGTCCCTGTTACGAGGACACTAGTCCAGTTCACGAGGGTGGAGCCCTCACACCTAATCGCCTTCCCAGGGCCCCATCTCTTAGTACTATCTCGATGGTGACTAGATGGCGACATATGAGCATTCTGGCTCTTGCAACTCTTAAGAAAAAAAAAAAAAAAAAAAAAGGATTCCAAGAAGTCTAGAGCCTTCTGGGAACAGTAAAGAAGGATGTCACATAAGATGACAACCCGAGACCATTGGAGCCACAGGAGGCACAAAGAGGTGCTCACACCCCTTTTATCTTTATCAAGACCCTGCTGAACCAGACTTCAATCAGTCAGTCTTCAACACTCGCTTGCGGTTGGCCACTCCACAGTGCTCTCTGGACTTCCTGAATCTTTCCTGAACTTCGATTTCCTAAGATAACTGGTCCCCTTGAAGGAGGCTTCACTGTTTCAACGATTCACTTATTTTTCTTCTTTGTTTTATCCTGTGGTTCACACCAACCCTGGGATCTGTGTCAGGTCAGAGAAGCTTCACGCCTAAATTGTCTCTGAGAGGCTTTGAGGGAGACAGAAACCTGCCGACTACAATAATAAGTAATTCCCCACCCTCAGTAGGTTCCAAGGCCTCTCGGAAGAACCTTAGAAATGAGACAAATACAGTAGTTCCCTGTAGAGGTCCTGGAACTGTCTCCACAGATATCAAAATTTGGAGATGCTCAGTCCCTTATGTAAAATGATGTGCACACCCCCCTACGAACTTTAAATCATCTCTAGGTGGCTTATAATACCAAGACAAGGTAAATGCTCTGTAAATCATCACTATACTGTGTTGTTCAGAGAATGAAGACAAGAGGGGAAGCTCTGTATCTGTTCAGTACACAGGAATTTCTTTTTCTGAATATTTCCCTTTGTGGTTGGTTGAACCCGTGGACACAGAACCTGAGAGTGAGAGGAACCAACTGGGAATCTCAGAAGTGTTATCCTAATTGTGACTACCCCTGCAAATCTGCTACCTTTTATCTTGAATCATGGTCTCTTTAGGCAGGGTGAAATAAAAGCAAAGTTTCCCTAGACAGCCAAGATGGACGAAGAAGTCTAGATCCAGCCCTGCTTTGCTATTCTGAGCCCAGGCTGTGCCTCCCCCTACACAGCTTGCTTCTCTAGGTAGAGCAGACTCAATGCCATCTGCTCCCCTTTCTCAGGCAGTCCCTGGCTAGCCTCCCTGGTCCCTAGTAGTCCTGCCGTGGTGGGGGAGCCCAGCACTCAGGTCTTAGGTCCCCGGGAAACGGATGTGGTGGAAACAAGTGCTCTGAAGGGACAACCGAACCCTAGGGCTGCTTCTCTCTGTGTGACTCGGGGCAAGTCTGCACCCCACCTTCCTGGTCTTTGAAATGGTAGGAATCCTCCCAGACAGGGGCCAGAGTGGAGAATCAACACAGGCTGGAGGTGTAGCTCCACGGCGCGGTGCCTGCTTAGCACGTGCAAGGCACTGGGTTTGATCCTCAGTACTGCAGGGGAAAGGAAAAGGGAAAGGAAGTGAAATAATGTGCGGTCCATGGGAGATGCTGAAATTCACAGGCGGTAATTTCTCCAGGTGTACCACCCACCTGCTTCATAGTTGAGGGTTTTTTTTTCTTTTTGAGGGGGTAAAGGTGAAAGAATTTGTATCAGAAACAGGCTGTTGAGTTCTTCTGAAGTGGGGGGCGGGGGAGACAAAGCAAATTATTCTGTGGTTAGGGTGTCCTCTGACTCCATTCAGTTCTGACACTGTCGACATGATGTCAGATCCCGCAGGTTGAGTGCTTCGTCCACAGGACGGGCCTGACTTCAGATGTCAGTGGCAAGTAATAGGTTGTCACCTGAAGAGCTATAAATTGGAGATTCCCATGTCTCCCTGCTTGGGTTTGATTAATTTGCTAGATCTCACAGAGCTCAGCGGAACACTTCACTTTCTTTCCCCCATTTATTTTAAAGAATATGACAAAGAATACAGATGAGCAGCCAGATGGGAGAGATGCGGAGGGCAGGACACGTGGGGAGGAGCTTCTGTGCCCCCTCCMGAGGTGCCAGCCTGCAGGACGGGGTGGGCTCCCTGGGAGGAGGCAGGCCATATGCACCCGCCCTTTGGGTGTTTATGGAGGCTTCGTTGGATGCATGATGGATGACAACACTGGTCACTGGTGACCAGTCTCCCCTCTCCAGAGGTGAAAGGGTCTGGCTGAAAGTCTTACCCCTGAAATCATGCCATGATCTTTCTGGTGACCAGGCCTGCTCCTGAAGCTGCCCGGAGGGCCCAGATGCAAGTCATCTCATTAGGTACAGATATCCCCCTCCGTGCTTTTGCTTTTATAATTCTGTCAAAATGAATCCTATTGTCATGCCTAACTAAAAAGAGCCAACTAAAAAAGCCCTCTTGTTGCTCTGGCAGTTCCCAGGGTTTTAGGAACTCTGCGTCTGGAACCAAGGATAGAGACCAAGTTTACATTTGTTATGTCACAATATCACGGTCCCTTTCCTCAACCTCAGGTGGCCTGAGGATTTCACAGCGTCCAGTTGACAAGAACACAACATCTACTGAAGCCAGAATTGTAGGC